CACAACACCCAATAGGAGAGAGAGAACAAAAGGAAATGCCCTGCCAAAGAGGCAGGGTGGGATGGGGGGAAGGGGGGTGGGACAGATACTGGAATCCATGGTGATGGAAAATGGGCACTGGTGGAGGGATGGGTACTTAATCATTGTATAATTGAAACCCAAGCACAAAAATTTGTAAGTCTACAACTGTACCTCTTGGTTTGTCACTAATAAAAATTTTTTAAAAAATAGAGAGGGACAAACATAGAAAGATTGCTAACAGACCTTTTAAAGTCTTCACAGACTCACTTTGCTCAGACTCTCCACCCCCACCCCCACCTAACCCCCCACCCCCGGCTTTCCCCACCTCTGCTTGCTTCTCCTGCTCCTTTCCACATTTCAGGATCTTGTTTTAACCGTGTTCTATTTCTCGGTCCCCAAATCTGTCTGTGTTACCTGACACGGCCTAACCCCATCCTCAATGTTTGAACAGTGTTTCCCAAAGTCTTGCAGCTCTTGAACTGAGAGATAAAGGGGGGAAGGAATGATCCTTTAATTTGGTGAGCTGAAATGCCATTTGAATTCACTCCTTTGTCAGACTTTGTATGTGATGCTAGAGCAGTGGCTGTTCAAGTGTGGACATGGGAAGGTCAGGTGGTTCTAAGTTCCCGAATTCTCTGACGCAATGGAAGAACAGACTCAGAACTCCTGAGGCAAGGTCTGCACCCAGATGCACAGACTAGCGCTGCTCTCTGGGTCCCCCACTCTTACCTTGCGCCCATGTCCCCTGGGCGGGTCCCCAGGCTTATTCTTGCAAATATGAGACTCTCCTCTTGGCAACTCTGCCTCAAGGACTCCACATTGGCCCCATCAGATTTTTTTTAAAATTTTGCTTTGATTTAAGGTCCTTCCTATCTCAATTCTCCCTCCTTCCCTCTCTTCCACAGGGATCAAGCATGCCTCATAATCAAAAGTCTCTTCCCCTCATCTCCTATTCCCTTCCTCCTCCATAGATCGCTTCCATACCTAGTTCCAGTGTGCCATCTGCTTCTTGATGAGCCCCAAGTAACACAGCCTTTCTTGCCAGGAACTCTCTCCTCCCCTGTGCGATGAGGCTGTTCCTACTTTGCACTAAGATTCCAGAGACCACTGTAGAGCTAACTAGACAGAGGAGGCCTATTACCTTCAGTCTTTATCCCTAACATCCCCTCACGCCTTGAATCCACATGCAATGTGCTCGAGACAGCTTGAAACAGCTCATGAAAATAAATTGTTCAATTTTCAGTAGTTTAGTGAACCGGTTGGTGAATATGGTCATTACTAAAATGTAACTAGAGTATACATTAAGCAGCCTAGCTATTGAACAACTCATTCTCCTTTCTTTAGATTATCGTCATGTGTTAGAGCTGCCTGCTAAAAATGCTATGGTAACTAACATCCAAGAATAGTCGAGATAAGTACCAGGAGGTTCACTCCGTGGCTTGAAGGCCAGCCGCTCATGCTAGGTGTAAAGGCAACACAAGTAGAGAAGGGAACACCAAGTAAAGTGTGTTGGGAGGATCCTCCCAGGATGGGAGATGCATGCTGAAAGTAGACTACAGACGGAACATGATTGCCACTCAATGCCTCTTTTGCAAACCTCAGCACCCAAAAGGAGAGAGAGAGCAAAAGGGAATGCCCTGCCACAGAGGTCGGAAGGGATGGGGGAGATGGGGAGTGGGAGGGATACTGGGATCATTGGCAGTGGAGAATGGGCACTAGTGGAGGGATGGGTGCCTGATCATTGTATAACTGAAACCCAAGCACAAAAACTTGTAAGTCTACAACTGTACCTCACTGTGTTTCACTAATAAAAAATTTAAATAAATACATAAGTAAAAATGCTATGGTATGGGATAGAATTTGCATTCCTCCTTGGGACTTCAAAGGCCAGAATTAGATGTGCTGATTCAGCTCATTTCTTTAGGAATCTCAGAGGTAGCCAGCTCCAAGTGCAGCCTGCAGAAGGAGGGATTTTCCTGCAGGAGCGGGAAGCGCTGAGTCCAGAGAATTCAGGGAGGCAGCAGGCACAGATGGGACCTCTGAGCAGGAAAGAATCAGAGGGAGGCGTCGTTGGGGAATGGAGCTGAGCCACGGACTGTGGCTTACAACTGCTCTCAATTTCTCTCTTTCCAAGAAGCCAGTCTTAGCTCATTGGGTGGCTCTAGTAAACACGGCAGCCTTACCATGAGACTTTAGCGATGGTTTCCATTCTCAGCTGGGAGTGAGCTGATCCTCCAAGCGCCCAAATCAGAAGAGATAAATGCACACTTAGATTCATTGAAGCGCTTGTACCATAGCCAAGATGGGAAATAATGTAAAGGGTCCTGAGAGATAGTACAGCAGGTAGAGCACTTTGACTTTCATGTGGCCAACCTAGGTTCAATCCCTGACACCCCACATGGTCCCCTGAGCCCACCCGGAATGATCCCTGAGAACAAAGCCAGGAGTAACCCCTGATGTTGCCTAATAAACAAAAGAGAGAGAGAGAAAAATTCCAAAATTCCCACCAAGAGATGAGTGGATAAAGTGACTGGTCTTACACGCACAGTGGAATACGCTGCCATGAGATGAAATCTCACCTTTATCTGCAACTGAGATGGGAGTAGCGGTGGTCGTGGCAAGTGAATCAAGTTAGGCAAATGAAGAGAGGAAAGGACAGCTGTTGGGTGATCTCACTCAAGATAGTAGCACTGTCCTCCTGTTGTTCATCGATTTGCTTGAGCGGGCACCAGTGACGTCTCCACTGTGAGATTAGTTGTTAAAGCAAGAGAATGGACTATAGCTAGTGAAAACAACCCCCAACCTTGGACAACAGAGTTGAGGTTACCAAGTCATGGAAGGAGTCTAAAGGATGAGGTGGGGGGAAGGTAAGGCATCAGACTAGAAATGACTTAAGGACAGTGTTGGAAAGTCTCTGCACTTCGGTGGAGGTTCATAACTTAGTACACTGAAAGCATTAACAGTACTTCAACACATTACTTCAACCCCAATATTTTTGTTTAATGTATCATATTAAGAAAAAGGAGGTCAGCAGGACTGGTACAAGGGTGTTGGAGGGAGGGTTAGGAAGTAGAGGAGAAGGCACCACAAAATCTGCAGCAGGACCTCCACAGCAGGGAGAGCTCGTGGTGATGAGGTGGAGAGAGACTGGCCAATCCTCTAGGTCAGCCCACTTCTTTCCAAGCGCCACCAATGTCAGTGACCTTGGGAGCAAAGTGGCCATGGAGACAGAAGCATAGACTGGATGTGCGTCAACAACTTTGATTTTCTCTCATGAAGGCTGTCTACTGTTGAATATTAATTTAGTCAGCGATTAAAACTGAACTTGGGTGCCTGATATAAATTAGGCTCTAATGTAACAACATTGGGAACAGTAATGGCCAGATTCCAAACAGATCTTCCCAGATTCCCAGAGCCAACACCACCTTCAGCTCGGCTGCTGAGGACAGGAAGCCAGGGAGTAAAGTCCGAACCCTGCCAAGTTCATCCTGTAGAATAGTCACCTCCTTTGGGCTTGCGGGAACAGCAGCTCTGCTTCAATGGTTCCCATGTGAGCAGAAGCGTTGGGTTGCATCATCAAGGAAGTCCCGGAAATGTGGCCTTACTGGAATAGCAACTTATTCTAGATCTGGGCCAGGGGAGGGAGAAGGGCTAGCCACACCCAGCTAAGGGCACACTCCTGCTCTGCTCTCAGGGATCACCCCTAAAGGTGCTTCCCATACGTGGTGCTGGGGATGGATAGAACTGGGATGTGCTCTGTGCAAGGCAAGCACCCTACCCTCTGTATTATCTCTCCAGCCCAACTTATTCTGGATCTGGAATTTGCTTTACACGCTTCTGCCCATACCAACATTCACTGGGCTGACACCTTAGCGTTCCACACTTCCAACCACCCCCGTGGTGTCGGGAATGGAATGCAAGGCCTCACATTCAATGCCCACACTCTACCCCTGAGAAACATCCTGGTGCAGGGGCTTGGTGCTTCTATTATGCACCACATCACCCTACAGTTCCTGTCCTTTCAGAGAGCAAATTAAAGCTCATTTATAGCACCAATTGCACTGTAGTCTGCCCAGCACACAAGTAAATGAGAGAATAGGCAACAACAGACTCAGAAGATGAAAGGTTACCACCATGATCACATATTTGAAGAAAGATACTGTAACTCATAAAATCATGGGGCCGAATATAATTCTAATAATTCCTTTTTGATGAGACTATCCCAGAGTGGGTTTCATAGTGAAAGGATAGAAGGATATGCTCCAGTGAGTGAAAATGAGTCTTGCAAAATGATCATTGCTAATTCTAAAGAAATTCTTTGTAGTTTCTATATGTCTTTTATTAGACTATATTTTTCCCAATGTGATTATTTGTTTTTCATAAAATATAGTTTCTAAGTTATTATAAAATATACATGCCATCTTGAGTTTCCTTTTCAACTTTATGGTCTTATATTACTGATACACATTCATCATCAACACTAACATGCCTAAATTGGGCCAGGGGAAACTTCAGTAAGTTTAATTTAAAATGCAGGAAAAGTATATTCTAAGAAATAAGCAGAAGAGGTAAGTCACTCAAAACCAGAAAAAGCAATACTCCAGGAGAATTTAGTAGAGTAAATTCTGTTTTTATTTATTTAAACAAATATTTGATATCAGTATATCATGTTGACATTCTATTCAAATGAAAGACCATGTAAATACTGATCTCACAGTCAGTGAAACATATAAAATACTAACACAAAACACTATGTGATTTTTTTTTAAAAAGAAACAGAAAAAAAATTTAAAAATTAAAAAAAAACCACTATGTGAAATGTAGGTTTGAGAGATGAGTTTTAGGGGTCTGCCAAGTCTCTGCTACACCTCCCCAGTGGAACACATGTCATAAATTCTAAAAATTTAAGTTTAAAGTAAGAGGACAAATAGTAAATAGTTAAGTAAAGTCTGTCTGACCACTATGCTTTGATGCTCAAGTTACTTTAGTGGAGTTTCATGACACTTTTTGCTTTCCTTCCTGATCTCCATCTTCTCAAGGAACTGAAAAGAGAGAGAGGCCTTCATTAAGTTGACAAGCAAATGTACTAGCTTGCTCTGTACATGTCCAAAGACTCAAGAGGGCAACTAGACCATGATCCCTGGAGGGAAGAGGCTGTACGGCCCCAGAAGTACCTACATCTGAACTACACTGCTCTGGCCCAGCCGAGGTCAGTCTGACAGGGCCTAGTGCAGCTCATTCCTGCTCATAAAGACCTAGAAACCCCCCATCCCCACCCCGGTACTGATAAAATGAAGCTGGGGTGATGATGCATAAAGTGAAAAAGCAAGTTGCATATACCAGAATGCATATATAAGTACATATGCTCATGTAATAGATACGAGTTTTATAGGCACAATATATAGACAGTGGGAGTAAAAATAAAACGTGTTCACGTATAAATTTTTAATGTAATGATAGGGTGTGTGTTTTATTAACTCTGGTAGATTTGCGTCTATCTCTCAGCTGTAGGACGAAAGAGTAAAGGGAGAAGACAGTCCTTGTGTGAGTGACGGATCTCAGAGGACTCCACTGTAGCCAGGCCATGGGAAAAATAGAGCCATTTTGTCAGGATGCTGACTTTTGCCCCAAATTTAACTAAATATTTATTAACAGAATGATTAAAACAACAGAGAAAATTTTAATTCATTGATTTGTTAGGAGGGTAGTGCTAGGCCTACCCGATGATGCAGAGGCTACTCCTGGCTCTGTGCCCGGGATTGCCTGGGAAGTGCTCAGAGAACCATATGTGGTGTCAGGGAGTCGAACCAGGGTTGCAGTCAATGGCAGGACAAGTGCTTAACTTGTGTAAGGCAAGTGCTTTAGCTATTGTATGATCCCTCTAGTTCCAGAAAATTGCCCTTTTGGGGGTGTTTGAGCCATGCTTGGAGGTATTCTGGGGTTGCCCCCAGCTTTGAGCTAGAGAGAGCACATGATCTAATTTAGGTCTCTTTCATGTGGCACATGTGCTCCAGCTCTCTGAGCCATTTTCAGAGTCCCCCAGCCCCCCCTAGAAAAAAGAATTCAAGGGGCTGGAGCGATAGCACAGCACGTAGGGCGTTTGCCTTGCATACGGTAGACCCGGGTACAATTCCCAGCATCCCATTTGGTCCCCTGAGCACCGCCAGGAGTAATTCCTGGGTACATGAGCCAGGAGTAACCCCTGTGCATCACTGGGTATGACGCAAAAAAATAAAATAAAATAAAGAAAAAATTTTGAATTTTTTTGCCGTGGGGGCCGGCCATGTGACTCAAAAATGGTAGAATTCATGCAGGGCATGGATTTCGTCCTCAGCACCAGATGCCTCCAACATGCCTATTTGTGGCTCCCACAACAACTAAAGAAGATTTTTTTTTGCCGTATAAAATGTTAAGAGGGCTGGAGAAAGAGCTCAGAGGGTAGAGCACAGGCTCTGCACACAGGAGCCCAGTGTTCCAGCCTCAAAACCACATGGTCTCTTGAGCACAAGCTGGGGGTGGGTATGGCCACAAAGAAACACATGGTAAGATGGACTATAAGTCCCTTTAACATCAAGAACAAATGTGTCTATCTCTTGACTGTCAGAGAATGTATATATATTTCTATGTATAACGCATAATTATTTTGTGCTTGAGAATATTTACATTGTCACTGTCACTGTCACTGTCCTCCTGTAGTTCATGGATTTGCTCGAGCAGGCCCAGTAACGTCTCCATTGTGAGACTTGTTGTTATTGTGTTTGGCATATCAAATACGTCATGGGTAGCTTGTCAGGCTTTGCCTTGCTGTCGAGATACTCTTGGTAGCTTGCTGGGCTCTCCAAGAGGGGCGGAGGAATCAAATCCGGGTTAGCCAGGTCAGCTGCGTGCAAGGCAAACACCCTACCTGCTGTGCTATAACTCCAGCCCTTTATACACGTACAATAAATATATAAACACATGCATAATTATGTATTCACATGAAGATAGCCAAACATGGGCTGGAAAGATAGCTCAACTGGCTGTGTACATGCAAAGCACACTTAGTATGTAGAAGGTTTGGGTCCGATCTGGGACTTTGGGGTCCACCAAGTGCTATTGGGAGTGAGCCCCAAGCATAGAGCCAGAAGGAAACCCCCACGTACCAAAAGGTTTGGTCCAAACTGTATATGTGAAATATATATATATATAATGTATAGAAAATACCAATGTATAAAACGTATTATCCTATTTTTATCTATTCCCTATCTACCTATACTTACCTGATCCTTCTGGACAGAGCAGGCAGTTATTATAAATACATGAAGGTATATAGCATATTTAATACCACTGGCAGATTTGTGGTTGAGGCTCAGAGCTAAAGGGGATATTTCGTCCCAGTTCTATAATATTCTTCAGACCCACCTCAGCAACCACACCAGTCCCTCCTGCTTCCTAATTTAGCTTTGAAACCATTCTTGATCTGAGCTTTGCCAATTGATTTATTTGTCAGGAAGGATAAGCTCTTGTTAGTTCTATCACTCCTGGGGGAGGGGGGGAATCAATCCAGTACGCCCCACTGCCCCTAGACGCTATCTAAAAGTAGAACATTCCTTTGAAATATTTCATGAGCCAAACTAGCATCCAGCAGAGAAGCAATTGCCATTAATAGTCATAAAGTAAACTTGTCATAAAGTAAACCTCATTTCCAAGAAAGCTCACTAGCTCAGCTCCATGACCTGCTAAGAACCCCCAAGAGACACACAGAAAGGACGGGTCAACGGGGGCTGCTTTTAGCTGCCAGTAGGTCCTACCCTGCTGGTTTCCTGCTAAGGGGTCAGGACTGGTCAGGTTCAGAACTGCAGTTGCAACTCTCCTGGTCACCAGCCTCCTGGGCCACCCTCATTCCTGGTGGCCTTCCAACCCTGCTGCTCCATGGCGGGGGGTGGTGGGGGGGGAACTTGAGTGCTTTACTAGTGAAAGGAGAGGAAATCACAAAGAGAAAAAAGAAAAAAAGGGGAGCAGGAGATACTTGTGGGCTTCCCCAGGAAGAGAACTTTGGCCACCCCATAGCACAGCGATCTGGTGCTCCCAACTCTATGTGCTTAGCCAAGCAACCCCAGCCTGTCCTTAGGTAGGAAGTAAAGGAGAAAGGGTCTTAGTAAAGCATCAAAGGGCACATGCCCTGCACATTGATGGTAGCGTTTGGTTTGGGGGCTACAGCAGGCAGTGCTGGGGGCTACTCCTGTCTCAGTGCTCAGGAGTGGCCACTAAGTGATGCCCAGGTCACTCTGCGGTGCTGCAGATCAAACCTGGGCCTCTGGCACGAACAGCAAGTGCCCCGGCCCTTTGCACTAGTTCTTTGGTCCACGCCCTTTGATCCCACAGATGTCAAACCTGGATATAGCAGAAACCAAACAGGCAGAATAAAAACTGCAAAGTGCCTCCAATCTCATCTGTGAGCTCTTAGGGAAAGCATGTCCTGTGGTCCTGTGTGTGCTGGTCAAAGGAATCCTTTCAGAGTGCTGGGCTCTTCCTGTCAACAGCCAAGGGCCCTCAGAAGGTCTCTCACAATGACCTTGCCTTACCCTGGGCATCCTGTAGCCCCTGCTTCGAATGAACTCCTTAAAGGCCGCTGCTCCATGAAGGTCTCCAAGCAACTTCTCCTGAAAGCAGGGCCACAGCCACAAAGGTCAGCTGGCAGAAGTTCCATTTCACATGTGTCCTGCTTTTTCAAAAGGCTTTAGTGCTTAGAAAGTACCTTTTTTTTTTTTTTTTTTTTTTTTTTGCTTTTTGGGTCACACACAGCGATGCTCAGGATTACTCCTGGCTTTGCACTCAGGAATTATTCCTGGTGGCACTTGGAGGACCATATGGGATGCCGGGGATCAAACCCAGGTCAGACTCATGCAAGGCAAACGCCCTACCCACTGCACTATCGCTCTGGCCCCAGAGCCTTCTTTTCTTGATTTGTTTTTTGGCACACACCTGGCTGTGCTCAGGGCTGACTCCTGAGTCTATCCAATGCCCAGGGGTCATTCCTGATAGCGCTCAGGGGACTTATAAGGTGCCAGGATCAAACCCGGTCTACTGTGGTTAACTCCCTGTCCTCTGTACTATTGCTCTAGCCCCAAGACCAGAGCTAATTTTTAGCTCTACCTGCAACCTCTGGGGAGAGAAGTAGAGATGGAGGTTGAAATACCAGTAGCCAATTAGTTAATCAATCATGTCTATGATTAATCATTCCAACATTGTGAAACTTCTATTTAAAAAAAAAAACGAATGGGGCTTGTAGAGCTTTGGGGGATGAATGGTGGTGAGTCAGGATACTGAGGTGCCTCGAGAGGGCACAAGTCCTTCCAGTTCCCCCACCTTTTGCATCTCTTCTGGCTCCTGCGACAGTTTCTTAAAATGACTGGTAACTAAGTAAGTGAATTTTTTCCCCTGAGTCCTGTGAGCCTTAAACAGAGGACAGAACCCAAGGAAGGGGTTGTTGGAATCCCCACAGTACAGTCCTGTGAACTAGACTCGAAGTGGGTTGAGACAGAAGTTTTGTAGGAGTGAGTTTATCTGTGAGATACAAAACTCTCTCCAGTTCCATCACGTCAGGAGTTAAATTGTGGGACACCTCACTGATAAGTAGGAATCAAGGCATCGCTGCTACAGAGATTTGGGCAAGCAGAGTGGTAGAGGGAGTAACTGGATCTTTTCTGCTCAGCCACATAGCCACAGTGTGGAGGTCTAAGCAGCAAAGGCTATGACAATCGGAAGGATTATTTCTCCCCTCGTTTTTTTTTTCCCTTCTCTGTCCTTCTCATCTCTAGCCTCCCATATCAAGGGTAGTCTAGGCACATCCCAGCTTTACTACATTACATTTTGTCATCCAGTTACTCTCTGTACCAGCGATACGCGAGACGATCCTTTTTTTTTTAAATTTATTTTTGTAGGAGTACTGCTATTTATTCAGCCACTGATTGAGACGATCCTGTTTTTGTCCTTCTTCTCTGGTTTAAGAATTAGTTTTTTCATGACTCTCGCCATAGCCATGCCACTGACCCTGCACCAGGCTGTTTCACTTGGGGCGCCCCAGAAGGGGGCGGGTGAGAGCCCTCTCCACCCCAGGGGACCCGGTTCCAGCAGCCAAAAATTCCAGAACCCAACTACTACCATGCTCAAGGCTGCTCCCCACACGCTCAAACAGAGCCTCACGCAGGAGTGAACCTATTCCTGGACACGTCATAAGACATAGCCTACCCATTCTCCAAGAGTACCACGCCACATTTGATGGGGTTCAAATAGTAGGCAGACAATCATTGAGGGAAATATATATATACATATATATATTTACAGGTATATATACAAAAGTTCACAACATGTTAGTGATATCTTAAAGAAGGTCTTTAATAGCCCCTGCCAAAATAGACCAATCTTCACACTCTTTCCTCTATGGATACTTTCTTGTAGCATTTTTAGTGTTTTTTCATAACAAACAATACAAAATATATTATTTTGGTTCTGCTTTAGGACAGGGATTGGGGCTTGGGATGAAAGCATTCCAAATATGGCAGTGGGAAGGTGTAATGGTGGTGGGATTGGTGTTTGAATATTAAATGTATTAATTATTGTGAACTACCTTCTAAAAAAGGAATTAGGGTTTTTTTGGTTTTTTTTTTTTTTTTGCTTTTTGGGTCATACCCAGTGATGCTCAGGGTTACTCCTGGCTCTGCACTCAGGAATTACTCCTGGCAGTGCTCAGGGGACCATATGGGATGCTGGGAATCGAACCTGGGTCAGCCATGTTGGCTACGTGCAAGGCAAATGCCCTGCCCGCTATGCTATTGCTCCAGCCCCAAGAATTAGTTTTTTAGACTATATTTCTAAAAAGAGAGCACCTAGATATCTAAAGTGATTAAAAGTCTTTCAATAGCACAGTGGGTAGGCATTTGCCTTGCAGTGGTCAACCCATGTTCGATTCCTCTGTCTCTCTCCAAGAGCCCAGCAAGCTACCGAGAGTATCCCACCCACATGGCAGAGCCTGGCAAGCTCCCCATGACGTATTTGATATGCCAAAAACAGTAACAAGTCTCACAATGGAGATGTTACTGGTGCCCACTCGAGTGAATCGATGAACAACAGGAGGATAGTGCAGTGCTATTTTAAATATTTAATTCATATTAATTGAAATGCTAATCTTCTTATACTACAACTACAATAGCTTTTTGTGGAATATACATAAATGTAGGTAGTGCCAATAATCACATACCAAGAAATTCTCCTGACCATAAATTAGTATTTAATATGTTTTATGCAACAAAAGTAAAATAACAGAATCACCATTCCATGCTAATGATTTCACGTGCCCTCACTATATGACATGTAGAGAAATAAGAAGTGTCAGTGATGCAAAATTGCAGATAATGATCGGAAGATAATAATGGACAGCTATTTGTGGATGTGGCAAACAGCATAGCCTCAAGTAATCACAACCTCTTATATGTGAATTTTATATCATGGAAGACAGTGGGCCTGAATGCTGAGGAATGCGTAGAAACTGTTTTGACTTTGGAGGGCAACTGCTGGGCATTTGTTACCATGATTTAGTCTGGAATTTGCTTTCAGCAATTAAAAATCTGCTGGACATCATTTATAATATTTTGAGACCTTTGTGTAAGGATTTGTGCTCTTAGATTTGTATGATGCCTGCCAGGTAAAAATAAGAATTCATAACCTGTACCGGAAAAGGTATTGATGTTCTTCCTTTTTGGCTCAGCATTTCCAAAGGAGGCAATGCGTAAAGTATTCCTGAGTGAATGAGTAACTAGGTTAAAAGCACCTGAGCTTCTCAGTGTGTTCCATGTCATTATTAGGGAGGAGTTTGGAATCTGTTGCAAGGGAAGAAGGTCACAAATATTCTCATCAGAGTCCTGTGTGCATGTTGCGTCAGTATTTCCCAATGTCCAGGACTGTGACGAGTTCTTCTTTCCACTAGATACTTATATACAAGCAATGGACAGGCACGGAGTTTATTTACGGTAAAGTTGGAGTTCATCCTTATTGTGTGGGTCTGGGGCTTTGGAAGTTTACGTTGTGTTTATTGGCCTTTGTCCATTTTTTCTCAAGTAGGTACTGCAACTCTGCTGAATTTCATTTTTTAAAAAAAAGACTAGCTCTATTTAAAATTAAAATTTGCAAAGTTTAAAATTTTTGTTAACATCACAGATTTGAGGTAGATTTTTTTTTCTTTTTGGGCCACACCTGGCGATGCACAGGGTTTACTCCTGGCTTTGCACTCAGAAGTAACTCCTGGCGGTGCTCAGGGAACCATATGGGATGCTGGGAATTGAATCCGGGTTGGCCATGTGCAAGGCAAACACCCTACCCGTTGTACTACCTCTCCAGCCCCAAATTTGGGTAGATTTATATGGTATTTTTATTTTGAATTTTTTTGAGGAATCTCCATACTTAAATTTTACATTCCCATCAACAATATATAAAGGTTCTTTCCCCCAACACTCCATTGCTAGTTTTTTAAAGCTTTACATGTAGTTATTCAAAGAGAACTATGATGCTATATTCATTATGAAACATTCCACCCTTTGAAAGTAATTTTTCCATGGAATCAACTATTTCAGGAATGGTGGGCATGTAATTAATGTTTACCTTCTATCTACTATGATTCCAGGAGATTTCAAGTTGTACTTATTGTACTGATTATATAGTTCCCATATATTGATATCTTTTTCTCATTGCCAAATTCAATATGCAAGCTGTAAGACTCTTGCACTATTCCAAAGATCGAAGATTCTGGTTTCAATATAAAGTAGCAAATTGCACTGTGATCAAATCTGATGATAAAGCCTCAGCATATAAACATACCTGTTCCTGCAGTTCCTTTCTAACATTCTCATCTTGAGCTTTCAGTAAAACCTTGGGATCAACCAAAGGTTCATCTGCTCTTTGCTTTTTCCACAATTTGGTGTTTAGATACCATGCTCCATACCTCATTTTTACCCACTTTGGCTTACAAGGGTTCTATAAGAAATAACATAATGCCCAATTACATTATTTGGATTTATAATTTACATTATTTATTTTGATTTCGAACTTCCAAAAATGTAATAGCTTAGCATTGTAGCACTGTAGTCCCATTGTTCATCGATTTGCTCGAGTGGGCACCAGTAATGTCTCCAGTGTGAGACTTGTTACTGTGTTTGGCATATTGAATACACCACATGGAGCCTGTTAGGCTCTGCTGTGCAGGTGGGCTACTCTCGGAAGCTTGCTGGGCTCTCCGAGAAGGATAGGAATCAAACCTAGGTCAGTAGCACAGCAGGTAGGGTGCTTGCTTTGCATGTGGCCGACCCAGGTTCGATTCCTCCACCCCTCTTAGAGAGCCCAGCAAGCTACCAAGAGTATCTTGCCCACACTCAGAGCCTGGCAAGCTCCCCGTGACGTATTCGATATGCCAAAAACAGTAACAACAAGTCTCACAATGGTACTTGCTGGTGCCTGCTAGAGTGAATCGATGAACAACGGGAGGACAGTGCTACAGTGCTAATAGCTTAGAAAACAGTAGCAGGACTGGAGAGATAGTACAGCAGGTAAGGCGTGTGCCTTCCATGCACCCAACCTTGGTTTGAATCACCAGCATCACAACGATCCCCTGAGCCTTGCCAAGAGAAAGTCCTGAGCATAATCAGGTGTGGTCCCCAAATCCAACCCACCCCCCAAGAAAACAGTAGCATTTATTTTGAATTTATAGACAATCCTATATATTGTTTGGGGATGTGTGGTTGCATGAATCCTCAGTATCAGGTATAAGTCAACACAATGTTCTTGATGACCTTGATGCATGAGTGAGGAATAGGAGAAAGGAATGCCACGTACTCTCTCCTTTTCTCTTCCAATTAAAAAGGCAGTGTTGAAGGAAATCCTTCAAAAACAAGGGAAATCACATCACGTGAAAATGTGTTTTGACCTTTTGCATAGAGACCCTCTGCCTGCCAGCCAATAGTTCAGTTTGGGTAAAAATCACTGTGGTTTCTAAAGCAATTTTTGTGGAATTACTTGAAAGTAGAGGTCATTGAGCAGTTTAATTAATCCAAAATGCACCACAATAGTGATTGAAACCTCGAGTAAAAGGTAAAAGGTAAAGGCCCTCCCGTTGATCGTCGATTTGCTCGAGCGGGCCCAGTAACGTCTCCATTGGAGACTTTGTTGTTACTGTGTCTGGCATATCCAATACTCTTGGTAGCTTGCCGGGCTCTCCGAGAGGGGTGGAGGAATCGAACTCGGGTAGGCCATGTTGGCCAACATGGCCGAAACCTCGAGTATGATAGGCAAAATTGAACTTTCCAGCATCAGTTTGCATTTTATTCTTTAGGAAGATAAGAGAGAAATGACTAATTTTAATGCTGCATTAGTGATGAAATGGAATGTTTTCATAAATCTTATGCAACAGAGTTAAGAACAAAAAACATCACCTAGGGCTGGAGCAATAGCACAGCAGGTAGGGCGTTTGCCATGCACACAGCCAACTAGGGTTCGATCCCCAGCATCCCATATGGTCCCCTGAGCACCACCAGGAGTAATTCCTGAGTGCAGAGCCAGGAGCAACCCCTGAGCATTGCCAGGTGTGACCCAAAAAGCAAAAAGAAAAAAAGAAAAAGAAAAACATCACCTATGTAAAATAGGCCAGAAAAGAGACAAAGGTAATATGTCCAAAATATTCGAACTGTTACCAAAGATTGTATGTAAAAGGCCAGAGAGTGCAGTGATGTGTGGACAACATCTTGGCTGGTGGCATCAACATCCTTGCCACCACCACAATTGAAAATGCATGTACCGGGGCTGGAGCAATAGCACAACGGGTAGGGCGTTTGCCTTGCACACGGCCGACCCGGGTTTGATTCCCAGTATCCCATATGGTCCCCTGAGCACCGCCAGGAGTAATTCCTGAGTGCAGAACCAGGAGTAACCCCTGTGCGTCGCTGGGCGTGACCCAAAAAGAAAGAAAATAATAATTGAAAAAAAAAAAGAAAAGAAAATGCATGTACTTTTGACTTCCCCAAATTGGCAGGGCTTTTTTCCAATAATACAAAGAGTCCATTAACACAGATTTTGTATTGTATTTATACATATTCTATGTACTCTATTCTAGTAATCAAGCAAGCTGAGTAAAGAAAATGTCACTGAAAAAATCCTTAGTGACTCACTGTAAAGTTCTTCCTCCTTGTCCTCTTCACTGTGAGTCGGCCAAGGTAGAAGAAAAGAGGGGGAAAATTTCAGTAGAACCTTTCAGTCAAACCCAAGCTCTTCAAAGTTTGACTGTAATTAGTGGAAATAAATTGTTTTTTCACTTTCAGAGGAAGAAACTTTTCTCACAGTCAAATCACCCTGAGTTTTGTTGCACTGGTACAATTTGTCTTGTGTGTATATTTTCAGTAACATTTCATATAAAAGAAATACCATGGGTCCATAACTGTGTTCCAAACATACTATGTTATGGAAATAACATGTTATTTTTCCTCTCTTTTACCATGTTCTTTGATCTTCAAAGGAAATTGGTTCCAAGAAAAGAAGTAACATGTTATCACCAGATCAAGAATGATGGTCTGTGGTAAATAAAATGCCAGTAAAAAAAAAATCAAGAATTCGTTGGGCATGAAATCCAGCATTGGGATCATCAATAACAGTATCATATTATTGCAATACTTTTTTCTATGCTAACATTTATTTTCTATGCTAGCATTTAACATAAAAACACAGAGTACTTCAACATAAAGCACAAAAAATTATGACTATTCAGATATCAACAATAGTCCTGAATGACACACCTGTTTTTGCAACTGAATTTGTTATATGTGTCGGATATTCCATTCAACAAATATTTGTTAGACATCAAAAACCTCAAGAGATAGTAAGAAACAGTAAGCATGCAGGCAAGTCCCTGGCATGCAGCCAACCCAGATTCAATTCTAGGTACCCCACTGATCCCGAGTCTGCCAGGAGTGATCCCTGAGTGCAGAGTCAGGAATAAACTCTGAGCACCACTGGGTATTCCCTACCCCCCCAAAAAAGTCAAGATTTCTACTGAAAAAGACTAAAGTATCAGAATTCAGGGCCATTTAAGATTTCAACTCAATATAATATTCTGTGACTTTCAATGGTGTCTTTTACAATTACCTGCAGCGTCTGCAGTTTCTGCTCATGGTCTGGTTTCTGGCAAAGTCCTGGCTCTTGCATTTTAGTTAGCCTCCCACTCTTCTTCAGCATCAGAGGGACCTGGTTGAGTTTCATCACGTGGAGCACATCAGAGCTTGTTTCGTTCCGATAGTCAACGTCAAACTGTTTCAGGATGAACTCTTCATCGATGCTCAAACTTCCCTAGAAGAAAATCACATTTCATATTTCACCATCATTTCGATATTCAGCAGCAAATGGTGAAATGCTCCTTGCTCTTTTCTTTAATCTACAGGAGTCACTTGGCTTTGGCTAGAGAAAAAGTAATTTGAAGGAGAAGCAGCTACATCAGTCCCTGGAGGGGAGAAATATTTGGTGTCCAGAGGATTCTTTCAGTACACTAAGAGACAACATAGAACCCCAAAAAAGCAATGAGTCCCAGGGAGCCGGAGCGATAGCACAGTGGGTAGGGTGTTTGCCTTGCATGCGACTGACCCAGGTTCAATCCCTGGCATCCCATATGGTCCCCTGAGCACCACCAGGAGTAATTCCTGAGTGCAGAGCAAGGAGTGACCCCTGAGCATCGCTGGGTGTGACCCAAAAGGCAAAAAAAAAAAAGCAATGAGTCCTGGAGGGAAGTCAGGGGGTGGATAAAATATATTAAACAATGATGTGTAGTCACTCATTCATTCATTCATTCATTCATTTCTTTGCCAAAATGCTTGTTTAGGGTCAATACCAGGAGCAGGCTCTGGTGCTTTTGTCAGTTCCTCCAGGGAACTTATTTCCAGCCTTATTTCCAGCCCTCTATAGCATCCCCTGAACAAGAAGACGCCACTCTCCCCTTAGGGAGACTCCCAATATCACCCACACCACCAGTCTCAATACACACTTCAGAATAGCATTAAAGTGACACTCACACCTGTGCCACCTGGTCTTGCTGGCTTGCTGGGACAAACACCAGTTTCCTCAAAATTGGTCAAGAGGGCTGGAGAGATAGGACAGCAGGTTGGGCATCTGCCTTGTATGCCGCCAACCTGGGTTCAATCCTGGCATCACATATGGTCCCCAGAGCCTGCCAGGAGTGATCCCCAAGCACCAAGAGTCACGAGTAAGCCCTGAGCAGAGACAAGTATGGTCCCAAAATAATAACAAAGGTCAGAAGTCACAGGCGTTCATTACCTATTCACACCTAGATAACACTGTCCTCAATGACAGACATTGTACTTGGGAGGCCATGGCTCCAGGGGTCATCACGGTTTCTAACATATCTCCTGAATACTCCAGAAAGGAAACTATAGATTAATACTGTAGTATTAACATTACAATACTAATTGTAGAGGCAGCAGCAACCATTGCCTCAGTTGCTCTCTGGAATAGATTTGCCTACCACAGGGCCAAGAGGCTATCCTCCAATTCCTACTCTTTGGAACATTGCTTTGACTTAGGATCACTTGAGAGGTCACTCAGTTCCCTGGCAAATGCAGTTACAGATAAATCATCTCAGTCTTGATTATCTGTTGGCCTCAGAAGGGGTCTGTGCAGTCACTATTAAAGCTTATTGTCCAGACATCAGGTACTCAGGCCTAGACAAACGGATAAGCAAATTCCAAGCAAGTGGATGATTCAGGTATAGCCGATGGATCTAGGTTAGGCCACTGAGCCTTAAGTTCTGAAATTTTCTCTATTGGAAAAGGGTTGATCTTTTCCTACTTAGGTTGCCACTTGGCACAATGTTAAGGTTGAAAATTTGAGATAATACTTTGACAACATTTGGAGAATAGCTAGAAAATGGTGTGGGGAGGAAAAAGAAAGAGAGAGAGGGACTGGAGCGATAGCACAGCGGGTAGGGCAATTGCCCTGCACACAGCTGACCCGGGTTCAATTCCCAGCATCCCATAAGGTCCCCTAAGCACCGCCAGGAGTAATACCTGAGTGCATGAACCAGGAGTAACCCCTGTGCATCACCTGGTGTGACCCAAAAATAAAGAGAGAGAGAGAGAGAGAGAGAGAGAGAGAGAGAGAGAGAGAGAGAGAGAGAGAGAGAACACTGAAAAGCATTTAGCACCAAGATCCAGCTGAGTATGAAACTCTTACTACATCCGAATGATTGTTTTCTTCCTTAATTCAATCTGACATATGTTTCAGTCACTTGCCAGTGAAATACTAAATAACACACTGGCTAAAATTGACTGGTGCTTCAAAAATGAGGAAGGGCTGGGACTGTAAAATGAAAAAGCTTTCACTTTGAAAAAAGCAGCAGCCATCACCTAGACGTCTATAGGAAGTCAGAAAGAGGAATGTTTAATAAAATAAGAAGGAAGGAAGGCAACCTGGATAACGGAATCAAAGTGTCAATGTCAGAAATATGTTTTTTTGAATGGTTGAGTTTTAGGCATATAATATTTCAACACCAATTCCAATACCAGTGTCAACTTCCCTCTCCCAGTGTTCCCATGCTCCATTCCCCTCCCCCCTCTTCACCCTAATTGGCACATTGCAAAGTTCAGTGGTTGCAACTTAGATCTCATGTTTTCAGTGTTACTGAGTCTGTGCTTTGGATATAGGGCTCTACCTCTCTCCCACATCACCAGTATAACTGGAAAAAAAAATTTTGTGAAGGTTATAATCAAACATAGCTGCCCAATGAACAGCACTGTAGCACTGTCCTTCCATTGTTCATCGATTTGCTAGAGCAGGCACCAGTAACGTCTCCATCATGAGACTTGTTACTATTTTTGGCATATCACGGTAGTTTGCCAGGCTTTGCCGTGCAGGCGATATATTCTCGGTAGCTTGCCGGGATCTTTGAGAGGGATGGAGGAATAGAACCCGGGTCAACTGCTTGCAAGGCAAATGCCCTACCCACTGTGCTATTGGTCCAGCCCCTCAATAAAGAGAACTGAGAAAAAATGAATTACAGGAGTGAGCCCGGGACTGTGAGCAACAGAGCCAAGTGTGAACCCCAACAAACACTACAAAGTATGCAAAACCCCACAACCAAGTGTATAACCCTTGGTCATTGCAACAATAATGAAGGGACAGAAAGAGGAAAAAAATCATGCATTGTAGTTATAAGTTATAATTGGACGTTATTAAGAGTATATCTTAATAGACTAACTACCACTAAACCTGTGCGCACACACACAAACACACACTCACAGAGCAATTATGTGAGGTGAAGGCTATGTGTCAGCTCACCCAATTATGGTCATAATTTTGTAATATGGATGAAATCATTATGCTACACATCATAAACTTACACAATGTTATGCATAATTATATCTCAACACAGCTGGACAAAATAGTCACAGAAACTGAAACAACAAGCAATGATGTGAGATATAAACAAAAGACATTCAAACTGGCTGTAGAATTGCTAACTTTTGGGAGGCTTCACCTACAGGAAAATGTCTATATTAAATAGTAAGAGCCATCAAGATTCGGTTAGGACTTTGATGAATTGGCTTCAATGTATATCTAAACACATTTTTTTTTGGTAAACAATAAAAGAAATTTTGGTTTTGACTTTTAAAAGTAGACTGTAGGCCTGGAGAGAAAGTTCAGGGGTTCAGGCACTTGCCTTGCCCACAGTCAACCCTGTTTAATCCCAAGCACTGCACTTCCAGGAGTGATCCCAAAGCACAGTGCCAGGAGTAAGTCCTAAACATCTCTGGATGTGGCTCAAAAATCAAAATCAAAATAATAATAATAATATAATAATAATATAGTAATAATAGGTTATGATATTACTCTGACTTACAAAAGTACTGGCCCAGTTGCAAAAGTCACTGACTTCTTTGCGCACACTTTCCGGAAGGCAAGGCCTATCCTCACGCTGTGAATCCGTTTCACTTGTCTTCTCTTTATAAAGCCATGAGTGTGAATGTGATGCTGAAGTCTCCTTGGTGCTTCAGATAACAAGATCATCAAAGAATTCCAGTATGAGGTACTACAAATCCAAGTGGGTTTCAAACAGCATTTTGAGAAAAGAAAATCAAAAAACTTCAAGCTCACACAAATTATATTTTAAGGTTTCAAAGGTCACTCTCTCAAGGACACAGCAAGTAAAGAGTGCTTGCCTAGCCCATGGCCAACCGGGGTTCAATCTATAGCACCCCATAGGGTCCCCTGAGTCAATCAGGAGTGATCCTTGAGCACAGAGCCAGGAGGTAGCCCTGGACATCGCTGGGTAGGCCCCCCAAATGATCACATTCTTAGTATAATCATCAATACAGTATATAGTGATTTTTCATAATAATTAAAATTTACATGGTATTTTATAAGTTAAATTATAAGCAATATTTCCAAATACTCACAAAGCCCCAGTGACCATGTTTGAAGCTTACCAAAGCCTCAAATTATCTTGACATAAAGGAAAACTCCGTGGGCTGGAGAAAGAGTACAGGGGTTAAGGGACTTTAACTCCTGGCACTGCATATGGTTCCCTGAGCATCAGCAGGAGTGAACAGTGCACGCGGCCAACCTGGGTTCGATTCCCAGCATCCCATATGGTTCCCTGAGCACCGCCAGGAGTAATTCCTGAGTACACAAGTCAGGAGCAACCCCTGTGCATCACCGGGTGTGACTCAAAAAAAACAATCACTATCACTATCATCTCGTTGTTCATCGATTTGCTCGAGCGGGCTCCAGTAACATTTCCATTCGTCCCTGTCATGAGCTAGTGTAGCCCGATGACATATTGGGGGCTCTTTCAGGGTCAGGGGAATGAGGACCATCATTGTTACTGTTTTTGGCATATCGAGTACACCATGGGTAGCTTGCCAGGCTCTGCAACACCGTGGGGGTGGGGGAATACTCTCGGTAGCTAGATGGGCTCTTCAAGCGGGATGAAGGCTTTTTGGGCAGCCTCTAATCACCTTTAAAGGTGTTCCCAGTTAGGCATATATGTGGGCATGATACTTTTAGTAGCCTGCCGGGTTCTCTGAGAGTGAGAACTAGAGAATAAGAGGTCAGAGGAACTGGCAGAGGAACCCAGTTGTGCAGGACCCGGGGCTGAGATCTCCAAGCCTGCTCGGTTCAGGACTGGGCCTCCTCCACCCAGATCCCCCACCTTCCAGTAGCTAGACAGTTACACCCACCAACTGCCGTGTAACCCCATCAATGGTCAGGATCCAGAGACGCTAAAACCAAGCTCCCAGAAGCGCGCAACCACGAATGCAAAAAGAAAAAAAAAGGGAGGAGCAAGGACCCTGGAGTGTCCCTTGGGTCATCTTGCTTCCCAGTAGAAGGGCAGTGACGATTATGCAGTTTTACTCTCCCTAAATGTATCAGGGGGCATACTGAAGTGTCAGCCACAGTGTTATCATTTGATCCCAAAGGTCAAATGCATATCACAGCTATAATTTGCCAGATAAACTCACCATCGTATTCACACTTTAAATGAAATATTAGTGAATTAAGCATAATAGAAAAGAGAAACGTTTCTATGAAAACGAAGCAAAGAAGGGGTGGGGAAAATAAAAGCAAGAGAGGTGCTTTGGAAATATTAAGTGAAAATGCCAGGGCTGGAAAGATAGCACAGTGGGTAGGGCGTTTGCCTTAAACGCGGCCAACCCGGGTTTGATTCCCAGCATCCCATATGGTCCCCTGAGCACCACCAGGAGTAATTCCTGAATGTAGAGCCAGGAGTAACCCCTATGCAACACTGGGTGTGACCCAAAAAGCAAAAAAAAAAAAAGTGAAAATGCCACTACTACTGTGGTTTATGCAGAGCTGGGTGTGGGGAGTCTGGAGTCTCCAAGCAGCAGACTTTGGAGAGCTTGAAGAAGCAGAACCCTCTCCCCTCCCAAAGTAAACAGACAAGTATTTGAGCATCGGCTTTTACAGTTCCGCAAATGGATCTTATTTGTTGTCATTCAACCATTTACTTGCAGTAGTCATGTTAAAAACTAAGGCTCCTGCCATAGCAAGCTAAAAGCCTTTATGGGACAATAATTTGGGTCATCTGTTCCTCTTTTCAAACACCTTTTCTAGAGTCCTAAAAACACAGCATCTTGGGGCTGGAGCAATAGCACAGCGGGTAGGGTGCTTGCCTTGCACGCAGCCGACCAGGGTTCAATTCCCAGCATCCCATATGGTCCCCCAAGCACCACCAGGAGTGATTCCTGAGTGCAGAGCCAGCAGTAACCCCTGAGCATTGGCTGGGTATGATCACCCCCAAAAAATAAATAAATAAAAATAAAAACACAGCATCTTTACTCCATTGATTTTCTCAATAAAAATGACTTGAACCATTTGTTACAAGGGTCAAGTAGTGTTGGGTCAAATAATTTACATACATTTATGAAGTAAATACTATTCAGGGGCGCAGGGTGATAGTATGGCAGGTAGGACATTTGCCTTGTATGCAACCAAACCAGGTTTGATCCCAGCATCCCATATGGTTCCCTGAGCAGCACCAGGAGTGATCCCTGAGCAAGTAGTAAGTCCTTAGCACTGTTGGGTGTGACCCAAAGAAAAAAAACAGACAAAAATACTACTTAGCACATTTCTTTCCCTCTTTCCCAGGAACTTAAGTATCTTGGCTTCTCCAAATTATGCTACAGATGAGGATATTAGAGATGGCAACTTCTAGAATGTTTCCTTAGATGACTGGAATTGAGTGAGGAGTTACGAACAAATACTTACTGTTCAGGATAGACGAGTGTAGAATCTTGTTTTAAAAATATTGTGGGCTCCTTCCTTTTTTTGCTGATGTCATGACTAGATGCCCACATGGACTTCAACTTCCTGTCTGGATCCAGAACTTGCAGCACCTTTAACAAGAGCTGCAGACAGAGAATGGTCTTGGAGGAAAGAGATGTGTGGAAAGTGGGAAGGGGGAAGTCTTAGGACAGACCTACTGTCTCCTGACTTTTCCTTGCCATTTGGCCAAAGCTGTTCATCAGTATCTGTGCAAGGTCTGGACTGGGTGCTGTGAATAACCACCCATCACCTGCGCATCAGTGCACAGACTGCAGTTCCACCTCCCCTAATGGGTAGGAATGTGTCTCTGGTGAGCCCCATCCCCAGTTCCCCCTCTTCAGCTCTGCTAGAGAGAGTCTGTGTTGTCTGGCTGCTGTCATCCATTCTTCCTGCTATTATAGAACCACCTTCCTCCACCCTTGGGACTCAGTGTAAACTGCCCAATCCCCTCTTTCTCCACAAACAGGTCAGGCCATGCCAATTGGAACCACAGTGACTGAAGGGAATAGTCTGTGGAACTTAGTTGGACCCTAGGAAATGGGCCAGGGAGTTTTGCTGGAAGTATGCAAAAAGAGTGATTCTCATTCTGAATGTGAATCCAGAGTTGCCGAGAACCATTACAGTACCAGGAACAGAAACCCTGTGTCATGAGCTGGGGGGTACAGTCTTCCCACATAGGGGCCCTGGGCCCAGTTCTCTTCAACCAAAAATGTAAAGAAAGTAGCCCGCACAGTTGGTAGGATGGTCAGGCACGGAAATAAGGTCCATATTCCCATTTGTGACCTAAGGGTATAGGAAAACATGGTAGAAAATAATTGCTTAGAAATTCTGTTTGTCCTTTCTGTGGAGTTCTGTGGTCTTTGTTACTTATGATTCATTCATTCCCCTCCTCACATATGTTTGTTTTGATGTTTATTTTTGATTTCTTTTTTGTTTTGCCAGACTCTCATTCAAAATTAAAAATGCACAATGAAAAGATACATGTTCATTACAATAGCCAGGATACGGAGGCATTCAAATGTCCAGTCACAAATGAATGGAAAAAGAAGTTGTGGTATATAGACACAATGGAATACAATGGAATACTATACAGCTGCAGTACTCATGCATTTCACTGCAACACAGATGGAACTAGAGGGCATCCTCATAAGCAATAGGACTCAGAGGGAGAAGAACAAACATTAGATGATCTCTGTCGTCTGTGGAAGACAGACCAAAAGGAAATGACAGTACGGAACAATGACAAACCCTTAGCTTTGCACTGTAAAACTGATCACCCAGTAGAAGAGTAGCAAATAGACATGTAGGGAACGAAGTTCAGCCTGGAGATGACAAAGGGCCAGTGGTGGAGGGTCCTGGGCACTTTGGTGGTAACTTCGTACATAATGCCAAAGCTTAGGACACTCTTAGGACCATGTTACCTAAACTATAAGAAAATTATTAAATGGAACTTGAATTTTTTAAAAAATTTTTATTAGTGAAACACCATGAAGTACAGTTGTAGACTTATAAATTATTGTGCTTGGGTTTAGATTATACAATGATCAAATACCCATCCCTCCACCAGTGCCCATTTTCCACCACCATGGATCACAGTATCTTTCTCACTCCCATCCCCCCCGAGGCAAGGATGCCCACTCTCTCCACTGCTGTTCAATATAGTACTGGAAGTACTTGCAGTAGCGATTAGGCAAGAAAAGGATATTAAGGGCATTCAGGTAGGAAAGGAAGAAATCAAGCCCTCACTATTCACAGATGATATGATACTATACTTAGAGAACCCTATAACCTCCACCAAGAAACTCCTAGAAACAATAGACTTGTATAGTAAAGTTGCAGGCTATAAAATCAATACCCAAAAATCCATGGCTTCCCTATACACAAACAATGAGAGAGAAGAAAGTGACATGAAAAAAACAATCCCGTTCACAATTGTGCCCCAGAAAATCAAGTACCTAGGAATCAGCTTAACTAAGGAAGTAAAGGACCTGTACAAAGAAAACTACAAAACACTGCTTCAGGAAATAGAAGAGGACATGAGAAAATGGAAAGATATCCCCAGCTCATGGGTTTGGAGAATTAACAGTGTCAAAATGGCAATACTTTCCAAAGCATTGTATAAATTCAATGCAATCCTTATAAGGATACCCATGACATTCTTCAAAGAAATGGAGCAAACACTCCTGAAATTCATATGGAAATTTTTTAATAAAATAAACCATTTGCTTCGTAGGAAACAAGTTGCATGTATGTTGCCGCCAAAAGCATTTCCGAGGGGGAGGGGCAGATAAAGAAGGGCTGTGCCCCACCTCCACCCACACCCGGAGAATTCTCCACCACCACCACTCCCTCCCCCGCCCCAGATCTCTCCGGCAGGCCCTTCCCCATGAGGAAGGAGACCCCTCGTGATCCCGGCAGACCCTCCCCACGAAGCCAGCTCACCTCTACAGGCAGGTCTTCCACCTCGGGACAGCGCGCCCACAGTTGCCCACTCAGATGCTCTTGCACGTTCTGGGCTGGCGCCAGCCTGGGAAACGCCTCTGCCGCCTTGGGCTGCGCTTTCTGACTCTTCTTGGGGGTGGGCTGGGGCGCTCCGTGATGAATCCGGGGGAGAAAGCCTTCCCCCAGCCCTGGGCCCGACTGGGGGCAGCCTTGCCTGAAGCCATCGGGTCCCCCAGTCACAAAGACCCAGCGCCTGCTGTTGAGGGCTGTTGGGCGCTTCCTGCTCCAGCGCCAGGTGGGGTCGGTGCGAGGAGCGCTCTCCCGGTACCTGGAAGACACCCGGCCCAGGGCCACGGGCCTGCAGAGGGCGCCCAGGGCGTTATGGGGCTGTCTCTATCCCTTAGGGGGCATGGAGCGGTACAGGGGTTCAGGTGGAGGCCCCCGTTTGTGGCCCATTATCTGCAGTCTATGATACTCTTGCTCCCCGCAAATACCCTTATAGCTCTCCATTCTTCTTGGCCCTTGCCCTGAGATGTATGTTTTCTTTCTTTCTTCTTATAAAAATAATTTATCTATTTTTTTAAAAATTTTGACCTTCAGCCTTGGGCAGTGCTCAGTGCTCACTCCAGTCTCTGTGCTCAGAGGTCCCTTCTGGCAGCGTTCAGGGCTCAACCCCAGGTGTGCTGCATCAGAACCTTCCCTGCTCTACTGTCTCTCAGCCCTTCCTGCGCTGGATGTGGGAGTGGGGACGTGGTTTTGCAATAGTGTTCCAACAACAGCCTAGAACTCTAGTATTATGGGTATTGGAAATCATGCTACTTAAGTAAGAATTTAAAGAATAAATAGAAGACCTAGATTTCCATTCATTGAGGCACAAAGAATTTAGGGAACAGAGGTCCCAAGCTAAAATGTTATCGAGCTGAGATTTCCCGGTAGTGTAGCTCCAGAGGATGTACCCCTTGCTGGAGTTCTGAGAGTTCGAAAAGTTCACATAAAGAATCTGGAACAATGTGGCTGGAGCAATAGCACACCGGGTAGGGCATTTGCCTTGCACACAGCCGACTAGGATTCAATTCCCAGCATCCCATATGGTCCCCGAGCACCGCCAGGAGTGATTCCTGAGTGCAGAGCCAGGAGTAACCCCTGAGCATCGCCAGGTGTGACCCAAAAAGCAAAAAAAAAAAAAAAAAGAATCTGGAACAAAACCCAGGCGCTCTGGGAACACGGCGCCCACATTTCTGTCAAGCTTCAACTGGTATAATAATTGCCCTCTTTATTTGCTCCCCCCCCTTTTGGTCTGTTTTCTTTTTCTTTTTTTTATTCTTTTTAATTTGTTTTCTCTCCCCCCACTCTTCTTAATTTTTTCTACAACTGTGCTCTTTAGACAGTCCTGTATTCTCTCAGCCACAGACTCTTTTTCCCTGCCATCCTTCCGTTCTTCTTTATTTATTTCTTGCTACACCCAGAGATTCTCAGTGCTTATCCAGACTCTGTGCTCACAGGTCACTCTTGGTAGTGTTCCGGGGACAATATGGGGTGCTGGGTATCGAACGAGGATCAGCCATGTGCAAGTACCTTACCCTCAGGATTATCTCTCCAGCCCCGCTATTCTTTATTTATCTAGGGTCCTCATAGGATGGTGCTGGGGCTGGGGCCGCCTCTGGTGGTTAAATGGGGCAGTACTCAAGGGCCAGCACAGGTCCAGGGCCACCAGGGTATATCTGGCGCTTCTCAGGGGACCATGCAGGTGGGAAGTGAACTCTGGGCCCTCAAATATACTAGACATGTGATCTGTCATTGAGTCAGACATTTGCCCCCATTTCTACTTTTTTTCTCGTGTATTCTAGAAACTTCTCACTGAGTCTTTGTGTGTGACTAACAGAACCCTTTTGTGCAGAGTTAAGGTGAGAGAAGGTAAGGTTAGTTAACACGACGGGTTTACCCAAAGTTGCTCTTTGCAACTAATGAACCACTTGTGTGTGTGTTTAGGGGGGGAGGGACAAGATTCCCCCAAAATACATAGTTGCTCTTGTTTGTGTGGTGCATATTCAGTAATTGCAATCCGTGTGTGCTCTGTGGGTCAATGCAGCAACTCTATAAGGCTTTTTCCTTTTATGGAGTTCGTTTACAGAAGAAAACTGAGCTCAGAGGGCCCAGTTAACCTGCCCAAGGTCATGACACAACCCGGGAACGGGCCCTCCACTCGAGCTTTCCTATTCCAGGCATTGCCGTGTTTTGTTTTGTTTTTAATTTTTATTAGTGAAACACCATGAGGTACAGTTGTAGACTTACAACATCGCAGCCAGATCTCACCAATAGCTCAGAGAATCAACCAAAGCTGGTGGTTTCTGCATTGCGACGGTGACACCCACCATTCACAGTGACAGCCTGCCCTTCCTGCGGCCCTCACAGTCGCCAGCTGCTGGGAGGAGAGGAGTCCAACCTCCAGCTACAATGGTGCCCTCACACAGATGCCCAGGACAGCTGGCCCACCGGGAAGGCTAAAGCAGTCTCGGAGGTGGCCTCTGTGGCCAGTGGTTTCCCTTCTGGAATAGACCCAAGTCCCCTGGGGGTGGGGCGGTGTGAGCGGGGGTACCAAGGATGAATTATTTGCCTTCTGGAGCGTACAGGGCTGTTTTGGGGGTTTATTATTATTATTATTATTATTATCAAATTAGTGCCAGGATCTTTTTTTTCTTTTTTGCTTGTTGGGTCACACCCGGCGATGCACAGGGGTTACTCCTGGCTCTGCACTCAGGAATTACCCCTGACGGTGCTCAGGAGACCATATGGGATGCTTGGGAATCAAACCAGGTCGGCCGCAGTGCAAGGCAAACGCGCTGCCCGCTGTGCTATTGCTCCAGCCCCAGTGCCAGGATCTTGAGAAGGAAGCGCGGCAGGGCTCTCTCCCGCAGTCACAGGCCACCCTCACCCCAGGGACCGCGTCCACAGCTTACCTGCGGCTCATGCCGCGCGCGGCTCCCGGTGCTTCCGACTCCGGGGCTGCTGCCTGTGCGCGCCGCTCCGGGACGCCAGGGTCGCTAGGAGACCTCGCGCCGCCCGCTGCCCACACCCGCCCCAAACTGCAGGGCAGCCCCGCACAGTTCCACTTCTCCCCGGGAACCCGAGGCCCTGCGGTCCCCTGTGTCCCCACCCTCAACTGTTCTCCGAAGGTCGTGGGCTTGCACGTTGGCGGAGTAAGGGAAGGGTCGGGTCTTGGCACTGATTTGGTTTGCAGTCCTTGGAAAGGCGTTCTCCTCGCTGAAATTTACCCTAGGTGGGTTGTGCCCCCCCTTTTTTTGCTTTTTGGGTCACACTTGGAGATGCGCAGGGGTTACTCCTGGCTCTGCACTCAGGAGTTACTCCTGGCGGTGCTCAGGGGATCATATGGGATGCTGGGAATAGAACCCAGGTCCGCCTCGTGCAAGGCAAACGCCCTACCGGCTGTGCTATCTCTCCAGCCCCTGTCGCTTTTGATACCACCGATTGAAGGGGGAAAAAGAAAATTTGATGAAGCAAAGAGGTTAGAAGCAGGAGAAACAGCAAAGAAGGAACGGGAAAAAGAGAGGAGGGAAGCGGTGGGAAGGGTTTCTGGAAGCGTCGGAGCTGGCAGATCACAGGGTTATTTGCGCCCCAAGCCAGGCAGCTGGCGCCCTGTGCAGTGTTTTGTTCCAAGGTGCTTTTGGTTGCGCTTGAGTGTGCCCGATTAAAAAGCGAAACCTTCGCTCCAAAGCAAATGGTAGAGAAGTATTTCCCAGCAAAGCCTGTCCCCAAATTATTACGACTGTGAAACTGGACTTACTATGCTTGGTGGGATAAACTTCGTAATTGAAAATGCATTCAACTCCAAACTCTCCAAGAATCAACCAGCTTCACCTTCAGAGTTCTGTTAAATATCTGGATAGTCGTAAACATCCCCTGTTCGGAACTACTTCTGCATTGTCACTTGCATTGTCACATGTTCTTGACTGCAAGCGGTGAAGATCCCTGGAGTTTCTCTGAGCGTTGTATTCTGCCGCTGTTGCTTCTCTCTCCAGGATGGTTGGTTACTTAAACGCTTTTAAACTCCATTGACTTATAACTTTGGCGGATGAGGTGGGGTGGTGAGACTGTAGTATCTGCCTATAAGGTTCTTGCGTGTTCAAAAAGACAATGAATGGACAGTCCTTAACGCAGAGCTAGCAGTTAAGCATTCTTCAAGAATAGGTGAGTAGCATTTGATCTTAGCCATAAACTGGGGTTTGTAGTTTTTGCCCTGCCTGCTTCACTGCGTTTCTTACAGGAATCCATTTTAAAAAAGAAAGATATAAATGTGAAGACTACATACTTTCAGGGATCATTTCTGTAGTTCGTTACTAGAGAAGTTTCTCTGATCGTGTAGAGCACCCAAAACTGCAAGGAGGAGTCACAGCACCCTCTCCTGAGCTGGAAGCTGTTTCCAGGAGTTGCTTTTGCAACTACCAAAATTTTACTATTGATGATCATTCTTCTCTTCCCTTGGAAAAGTGATGATGCAGTCTGAGTGGTTTTCTGGAAAGGAAAGAAGGAAGGGAGGAATGAAGAAAGGAAGGAAGGAAGGAAGGAAGGAAGGAAGGAGGGAGGGAGGGAGGGAGGGAGGGAGGGAGGGAAGGAGGAAGAGATGTAAATGAGCCCCATTCATTATTTTCATCATCTTTGATATTAGTTGTTTTTATCATCTTTTTTGGTTACAAAGTCAAGTTTTGATGACCTTAGGGAAGCCGTTTTCCTCCATAGGATGGAGGCAAGGATGCTGTGTGGTCATCTTTCTCTTAGTACCGTGCCTGGCACACAGTAATTCAGCCAATATTGTCAGTTATGGCTAGGTTAAGCATTGCAAATGCATCGAGAAATAAAACAGACTTGGTCCTTCTCACTTTGGTGTTTAGTTTCTAGTACTTGATGCACAAATAGTATTTTCATAACTTTCGCATCTTCACGATTGATAATCGCCCCCTGTAGTATTTTTTACTACAGAGTCAAAATCTTGTATCTTGTAGGAGACAACACTTGTTCTTTTTATTTCACCACGTTTATTAATTATCATTAATTATTTTGGACTCCCCCTTCCTTCTCTATCCCCCACACCCCACTGCTCCTAGGACTGTCTATCTTTCTTCCTTTTTTTTTCTTTTTGGGTCACACCCAGTGATGCTCAGGGGTTACTCCTGGTTCTGCACTCAGGAATTACTCCTGGAAGTGCTCAGGGGACCTTATGGGATGCTGGGAATAGAACCCAGGTCGGCCATGTGCATGGCAAGCACCCTGCCTGCGGTGCTATCACTCCAGTCCCTCTTTCTTCCTTTTTAAAAGCCCCACTCTCTCTCAGGCAACAGAGTATGATGTCAAATTCTAGCCCACGATCCTGTTTCCTATTACAAGTAATTCTGGAAGTTTTGACTTAGTAGGAGCTTCCTGCTTTGATATATCTCTTATGCCTCATGCCCTATTTTGGTGCGTGTGTGTGTGTGTGTGTGTGTGTGTGTGGTTTCTTTTGGGGTCACACTCAGCGATGCTCAGGGGTTCCTACTGGCTCTGCACTCAAGAACTACTCCTGGCGGTGCTCAGAGGTTCCTATGGGATGCTGAGGATTGAACTTGGGTCAGCTGCATGCAAGGCAAACACCCTCCCTCCTGTCCTATTGCTCCAGTCCCTCATGCCCCCTTTTGGGTACTCAGCTATCGTCACATCTCTGCTTATGGTGCCTATTGTAATTCTGCTCAAATTCTGAAAAATGTTAATTATGGGCCAGCATTTCCACTGGGGGTATAGGAGTCCATAGGAATTTTCACCCATAAGAGAAGACATATGAGGATAATTGTCACAGCATCATTAATAGTATTGGTGACTTGAGGACACTGTGCATTTCCATTTCTGCTATCTGGGTGGACAAAATAAATGGACAATTGGCATCAGTTAGATGTTACAATCCAGATATACAGCAACATGATTAGATTTTTTTTGGAGAGGTGTTGATGGGGCGGGGGAGGAACAGTGCACATGCCTAGTCATGCTCAGCACTTACTCCTGGCTCTGCAATTGGAATAACTTCTGCTGGGCTTGGGGGACCATTTGCATACCATGAATCAAACCCAGGTATGCTGTTTGCAAGAGAATTCCCCACCCAATGTACTATCTCTCTGGCTCCATAATTAGATTTTTAAAATGTAGTCCTGAGTGAAGAAGAAATAAAAGGAGATTTTTACTATTTTTGCTCGAGCGGGCCCAGTAACGTCTCCATTGGAGACTTTGTTGTTACTGTGTCTGGCATATCGAATTCGTCACAGGGAGCTTGCCAGGCTCTGCTGTAAGGGCGAGATACTCTCGGTAGCTTGCCGGGCTCTCTGAGAGGGGCGGAGGAATGGAACTTGGGTCGGCCATGTTGGCTGCGTGCAAGGCAAACGCCCTACCGCTGTGCTATCGTTCCAGCCTACAGGATAATTTATATGCATTTAAAATATATGTTTAAAGACCTGAAATATATATTTTTACAAGAAGAAACACAGAGAGAAGGATTATTTCAAACACATCGGAGTGCTTGTCTACAGAAATGATGGAGGAATAGATAATGGATAGGATTAAAAAATGCATGCATGAATGATAACAGGGGCCTGTTGATACTTTAATGATAATGAAACATCATGAGTTAAAGAATAAGATTAACCAATGTGCTATGTGTTAAAATGAAAAAAAAAAAGCTGCCAATTTGGCACTGAAACATAATTTCAGGAAACACTTTGTATGGATTGTGAAATACTATTAACAGCACTTGCTCCAAAACCAAGTGAATTTGCAATAATAAGAACAAAAACATAGGACAGATGGCGAAGCAAAGAGCTAGTGACAAGTTCCGGATAAATCAGAAGCTTTATAAAAATTCTTTGCTAGTTTTATGTGAGTCTATATTGAAGAAGATGCCAGGGCTACAATTTGCCACGGATGCATTCAGATATGAGCTAAGATTATGATTTGGAGTCTCAAGGTCATATCATAATTTGAAGTTAACTAAAAAATCGTGCTTTGTGCCCCAAGTGTCAACTATGGTCTAAAAGTGTGAGATGCTTTTCCATCCAAGGGATTTTCACTTTCTCAGATTATAGTCTATGTATACATTAAAAGTTTGAAAGTACATGCGGACTTGCTGCTCCTACCTGCCTGCTCTCTGTTCTCTACCTCTCTCTCACACACACACACACATAATTCTGCCAGGTGAGGTTGCATCCGAGGTCTCACTGGAGCCACGGCTCTGCAAGATACACTCCAAGATATACTTTTTTTTTAAAAAGTGGTGAATGGAAAAAGTGGCCAAAATTCTCATTTAAAAAAATGGCAGCAAATGGCATTCCATCAGTCATTTCTCTTCAGATCAGTTGACTGAACTTCCCTATCACAAGGTACGGATGGATGGATGGATGGATGGATGGATGGATGGATGGAAAACAAAATCCAACTTTCAGCTGCTAGCTGGAGACGTACTTCAACTCTAGTGATAAGCACAGGCTCAGCATGAAAGGATGAAGAACAGGATAATGGTGGGAATTTTTAAAAGTATGAGAGTCATACTTGCATCAGACCAAATAGTATTCAAGCTAAAGAAAGTAATAAGTGGTAAGGGAGGACAATCCAGATACTGGTTAAAGACAAAACAAAAGAACTTAACTCTTTCAACATATATGCACCAAATGACGGGGTAGCAAAGCTTATAAAGAAAACTCTAAAAGGCCCACTGTGACAATGAGAGTTGGAAATGATCACTTTAACCAGACTGAATGCTGGAATTAAGTAAAAGAATAAAAGGTAAAGGCCCTCCCGTTGATCGTCAATTTGCTCGAGCGGGCCCAGTAACGTCTCCATTGGAGACTTTGTTGTTACTGTGTCTGGCATATCGAATACTCTCGGTAGCTTGCCAGGCTCTGCCGTGCGGGCGAGATAACTCTCGGTAGCTTGCCGGGCTCTCCGAGAGGGGCGGAGGAATCGAACTCAGGTATATATCTATATATGATAACCTTCCAGTACCTATATTGCAAACCATGATGCTGATGGGGGGGGGCGGTGGAGAGAGAGAGAGAAGAGAGAGAGAGAGAGAGAGAGAGAGAGAGAGAGAGAGAGGAAAGTGCCTAGTAGACAGGCTGAGGGATGTGGGACAGAAGAGGGAAAACTGGGAACATTGATGGTGGAAAATGTACACTGGTGAAGGGTTGGGCATTGTAACATTGTATGACAGAAACACAATCATGAGCAACTTTGTAACTGTGTATCTCAGTGATTCAATTAAAAAGAAACCTCTAACAGCTATTTCATAATATAGAAAAAGACAAATCAATGGCTATACTATATATATAAGCTAAATGAATCTTTAATATTTCTAACTGCAAATGTACAGAAATTACACAGCCACACGTGGAGAACACCAACATTTTGTGATACATGAAAAGTCATACCAATGGCAACACAACGATGGTGGGAGACTTTGACACTCCACACTCATCATTGGGCAGATCAACCAGAGAGAACTTCAGAAAGAAACAGGAGCCCTAAATAAGGAATTAGAGAAATTGGAAGCAATGGATATATACAGGATTCTCCATCCCACACCTTACTCCAGGGAACATGGAAAATTCTCCAGGCTAGACCACACATTGGGACTCAATTTGAGAGTCCATAAAGTCACAAGAATAGAAAGTATCTTTTTATATCAAAACACTATGGAGATACAAAATTGATATTTAGAAATTGAATAGCATACAGTTAAAAAACTGGATCAAAGAGGAAATAGATTCTTCAAAATGAGAATGAAGAAACAAACTCTCCAAAGCTATGGGACATCAAAAACAGTACCAAGGAGAGAGTCTACAGCACAGTCTGTGTTCAGAGCACAGCCTAGGAAACAGGGAAAAACTGGAATAACCTAACCTCACAGTTTGAGAAACTAGAAACATAGGCAGAACTTTTCAGGGTATAGATTTAAGAGATGTTTTTAATAGTTGACTCCTCTGGCAAAAATTACAAAAGCAAAAATAATAAGTGGGAGTATCTCAAATTAAAAAGATTTTACCTGGGGCTGGGAGCAATAGCACAGCGTATAGGGCATTTGCCTTGCATGTGGCAGACCTGGGTTCAATCCCCAGCATCCCTTATGGTCCCTGAGCACCACCAAGAATGATTTCTGAGTGCAGAGCCATGAGTAACCCCTGAGTATCACTGAGTGTGACCCAAAAAGCAATAAAAAAAATATTTTACCTGGCAGAAGAAACTCGGGCTAAAATAATGAGCATTGTAGCACTGTCCTACTGTTGTTCATCGATTTGCTCAAGCAGGCACCAGTAACAACTCCATTGTGAGGCTTGTTGTTACCGTTTTTGTCATATTTGATACATCACAGGTAGCTTGCCAGGCTCTGCTGTGCGGGTGTGATACTCTCTGTAGCTTGCCTGGCTCTCCCAGAGGGACGAAGGAATCTAACCCAGGTTGGCGACATGCCAGGCAAATGCCCTATCCCTACCCTACTG